TGCCGTGTTTGCCGTGTCGCACCTCCATTTCCAGGTTTCAGCCATACTGTACCGTGTTTCAATATACCGTAGAGTACCGTTGATCCGCCCCCTGTCGATTTTCTGCCTGGGAAGCGATCGCGTATACAACGATCGCCATCACCAGTGACTCTTGCGTCCAGCTGACGACTTGGTCGGATACGGGCTCATCCCATTCTGCCTCCATCACTGCGAGGCGCTTGGTGTAACTGCAGGTGGGGCAAAGCCAACTACAAACTGGCAGATGACCTGTTAGCCTACCGCACCATTTGAATATGGCACGCTTTGTCAAGACCTCGGGTACACGGAGGTCGCTGCCATCTCGGCGTCACCAGGTGACCTCGCTTCCGGCGTCGCACAGCTGCAGGACCCATACATGTACTCTCGACTCTTCCAGCGGCTCGGCTGGCTTCGTGGGCAGGCTGTACTCAAGCATCGTGCTGACGCAACGGCGTCAGCGCCCAGGTTTTGGCACCATAAGCTGCAAGGGGATTACTGGCTGCGCCTCAGTCTATCCCCTACTCCGGAACACCAACCAACAGACACAAGTCTTCAATTACAGATAGGAATACATTTCGAGAGAGTAAAACTACAAGTATCGGTAAAACATCGTCTTGGTCAACTAACCAACGAAGAATACATGAACCCATGTACTCTTGGGTCAAATCAAATAATCGTCTCGAGCCAAGACGGCAAGGAAAAATGGCAACTTACGTCATCATGCTCACAGATAGAATTTTATAGCAAAAAGAAAGGAACGTCACGCGCACAACGCAAATAAATAGAACGAGGAGATCACGTATACAACTACCGTAAAGTACCGTTGATCCGCCCCCACGCCATGTCGCTTCCCAGCTGGGTTTTCGGCAGGGGGCGGGAATTAGATCAAGGCTGTCAAGTGCAGTACGATGTACAACAACGTAGAAGTTCAGACTCGATATGCTGGATTGTGCACATTTTCATCCTGGATTGGCAAAATTTGTGTACAGCAGTGCATGCGTCGCTTCAACATCGTATTTTCGTTGTATACGCCGAAGTCGCTTCACAGGTAGAAAATCGACAGGGGGCGGGAATTAGAGAGGGGGCGGATCAACGGTACTCGTGCACTGCTGTACACAATACGTGCCAGTGCAGGATGAAAATGTGCACAATCCAACACATCGAGTCTGATCTTCCACATTGTTGTACATCGTACTGCACTTGACGGCCTTGATCTATTTCCTGCACCCTGCCGAAAACCCAGCTGGGAAGCGACATGGCGTGGGGGGGGGGGGGCAGATCAACGGTATTTTACGATATTCACATAAATACTTCGAAGGGAAATACGGTATACACGTTCTTCACGTGCACTGCACTATCTTTCTGTCAGTCTCCATTCGTTGTTGCATTGGATGTGTTACCTAGTGTGCATGGCTGTTTCTATCATTCATACTTCAGAAGTAGACCCTTTCTAATCTTGGCTTTGCTTCGCCTTCTCTTTGCCGTGTGCTGTGTCATTGTTGTGTAGACCTTGTTGAGGCAAACAAGACTGGAATTCTGGCACTGCTGGATGAGGAATGTCGTCTGCCATCCGCCAACGTAGAACACTTCACCAACGCCGTACACACCACCCACAAAGACCATTTCCGTCTGTCTGTAAGCTTACATAGTTTTCGCTGTTCGGCTCGCTTCCATCTACTTTCCAGTGTCTGTTCTAGAAGTTCAAACCAACTGGGTGCACGTGTACCTGGCACAACTCTTGCAACCGGGGTCAGGGTCGGTACATTCAAGTGCGGGTACTATAGATCAGAGAATCTTAGGACTTCCTGGTTGAGTCCCAGCCGGGTCACAAGTGACCCGATGTTCTTTTTCCAAGCGGGTCCAAGTACCCCCAACCGGGCCGCTGACCCGGCTCTGGAGCAGACACTGCTTTTTGTCTGTGTCTCTACCGGTCAAGTCTTGATATGCTGTGCCTCTACCGGTCAAGTCTTGATATGCTGTGCCTCTACCGGTCAAGTCTTGATATGCTGTGCCTCTACCGGTCAAGTCTTGATATGCTGTGCCTTGAGGAACATCTCTGATGCATGTACTTGTTTGGTGTCATTTTCTCTTCTCTTGTGTGTGCACAGTCACCGCGCCGCTCTAAGCTTGCCTTCTACAAGGGCATGAGAGATACGGAGGGCTTTGTCGTGCGCCACTACGCCGGCGCTGTCTGCTACGAGACTGTAAGGGACGCCACTTTTGCTGCTGTCATTATTTCAACACGGCCCATCTTGATTGGCTGTTGCAGCTGTTGTTGATGTGCGTTCGTTGTGCCCTAGTCTTTACTGGTACCACGGGATGTGATTGTTTTGTTCTTGAGTTCTCTCATGAGAGTCAACAACCACTCTAATTTTTTACTGATGCTACCAGTAACAGGACAGGGCACTGTCCTAGCTTGTTGTTCAAGTTGGCTTGTCAACCCTCATGTATGCTATGGCCAGTATGGGTAGTTGAAAATGGCACTGTCTGTGCGGTCATGTACTGTGACATGACTCCTGTGTAGGTGTATGAGCGATGGCTTCTTTGTCACTGTTCGTGAGCTCTCCTTTTGTGTTTTCCTTTTTCCGCAGGGTCATTTCTTGGAAAAGAACAACAACACTCTTCATGACAACCTTGAGATGCTCATGCAGCAGTCTGAAGATGAGTTTGTTATGAAGCTCTTCCCCATGAAGAAGCTTGCATCCGAAACCAAGAAAGGAGGCAAGAAGCTCATCTTTGACAGCTTGGGAGCCAAGTTCAAGGTCAGTTTCTATTTTAACTTCAACTGAACTAGAGTAAATGTTGGCGTAGGACCCGTGGTATTGCACTGTTTTGAATTCTGCAAATTCATTTCATCCTGCACCGGCAGTAGAAAGTATATTACTTCGAAGTAGGTGTTTTGTATCACTGACGCCATAGCATACATAGTTAAGGCTTTTGTACGCGCAGGATTTCTTCAGAGAATGTAGTGTTTCTTGCAGGGGATATATCGAACTTCAACATGCCAAACCCATCGACTCGGAACATGCAATCGAATGAGTACTCGACCCCCATCCAGACAAACATTTAACACAGATATGTTGGTTTTAAAATGTTTACTTATATAGATGATAGCGCAGCATTTCCTTGTACCAGCGCAATAATACTTGGCATTGGCATGCCCTCATAATAAGGTCTCCGGTATTTCGAATAAAGATAAGTGCACGACAGATCACTTACCAGCTGCAAAGAAAGCCTCCAGCTTCTGGTGATGTCCCTTAGATCGTAGATGATCGACGAACGGCTGGAGGCCGGTCATTGTTTTCATACACACGGAACAACTGAAAAGCCTGGTGTTCGTCGGTTGATAGTTGAATAGGACTGATCAAGGTGGATCCAATCACTTTTATCCCCACCCAGTTGTTCGTTGGTTGAAGGGTGCGGCGTGATGTCCCTTAGATCGTAGATGGTCGACGAACGGCTGGAGGCCGGTCATTGTTTTCATACACACGGAACAACTGAAAAGCCTGATGTTCGTCGGTTGATAGTTGAATGGGACTGATCAAGGTGGATCCAATCACTTTTATCCCCACCCAGTTGTTCGTTGGTTGAAGGGTGCGGCGTTATGTCCCTTAGATCGTAAATGGTCGACGAACGGCTGGAGGCCGGTCATTGTTTTCATACACATGGAACACCTGAAAAGCATGATGTCCGTCGGTTGATAGTTGAATGAGACTGATCAAGGTGGATCCAATCACTTTTATCCCCACCCAGTTGTTCGTTGGTTGAAGGGTGCGGCGCGCGCGCAGTTCAACATTAAAACTCTGCGCGATGATCATGGAGTCCGCCGCTCAGGATGTGAAGCGGGTAAATTGGGCGGTACCGTGAATACCACATGGTGAACATCTCTTTTGAAACGGTGGTAGATTGCTCAAACTTGCCGTCGGTTCTACAGTGCGTTTCAAAAATATAGACGCATGATTTCAAAAAACCGTTAGGCCAGCATCAAGAGTACATAAACCAGAGTGTGCAACTCGGGATGGTTCCTGTGGGAGCGTAATTCGTGCACTACGTCATTTCTGACGGCATGGTAAGCCACAGGTACGGTGAAAAGTTGCGTAACCAGTCGCGGTGGTGCAGGTCACTGGGTTTGTCTTGATTTCGGTTTTTTGATACGGATAGCCTGGTGACTTTACTTGTCGGCGGATGTACGCAGCGTACACAGTCACACAAAACACCGAAATCCTGAAACAGGACGTCTAAAATCAAGCAAACTTGGCTGATTTCCGGGCTATGAAACATGAAAATTTGAGCTGTACGCAAGTCGCGGCTTGGCTGACCTCATCAGGGTGACGTAGTGCACGAACTGCGCTGTTTCAGATCTGATATGCACAGTTGCACACTCTGGTTTATGTACTCTTGCCAGCATCTATAGCACATAAAATCGGTGATCACTTTGTGCATAATAATTTCAAAATTGGGTGTTTGCTTTCCGATTGCTTAAACATCTACTAGTATATGAGAGTAATTGGGGGAAGGACCTGAGCAACATTCCGAAAGAAATTCTCGAAAACCTCCGGCCAAATTTGAAATATTTCAAAAATACCATGTCTATGTTTTTGAAATGGACTGTAGTTGATTCCAGAAACTTGCGTAGCATCTGAGTACGTTATGCGTACTATGAGCATCGCGAGGAGTAGCAAAATATCGGTATTTACGGATGACGTCATCGGTAAAATGCTCTGATTATAGGTTAAGTCACAAAAATTACGGGTAACGTTAAATCGGAAGAAATTAGGGTTAAAATGCCCCGGTTTTTAGGGTTAAATCGCACGATGTTATCGGTGACGTCAGTGACACAGAACGCCTACCTATCTACCGTCTTCATTCTTCTTGTGAGAAAGGTGCCTATCCAGAGGGTGGTCGTCCTTTGCAACCGGAGCAACACGGATGGTCACCAATCACCAAACTATCCTCCGAGTTACCATCACAACGCTCTATGTATACAGCCCGAAGTGCTCTCAGCAGAGTGTCCACAAGCTCTTCATAACCGAGAGATGAGTCCTTATCACTGAATACTCTGCTATGTGTCGTGCTGCCATTTGTTGTGTGTTTTGCAGACACAACTGTCTTCGTTGCTGGTCAAGTTGGGAGAGACCGTGAGTATAGGGTTGCACGTGTATCTAGTGTACAGGCTTACGTAAAACTTGTAGTATTCTTACTTCTTCAGTCCAAAACAGCAAGAGCCCTGACTCAACTCATGCACAGCAACTAAAAACCGCCGAGTCCATTCCACGCGCACGCGCGTGGGAAACGGCACATGCTACATGCATAACAACACAATGCACCACTGTGATGAATGCCTGGGGTGGCCAAGGAATGCAACAGTGAATATGGAGTTGTGGACACTGCACCCCTGTAATCGTATCTAGTGTTGTTCATAGAGCACTGGCAGCCTTTATATCAATCTGATTTCATGTGCATTTGGTGTGCCATCTACAGTAAGTTGTAGGAGCAGAGATATGTTGATTTTTATGATGCTCTTTGTGTTGAAAAGGTGACTCGGAAATGGTAATCGTAACAATGCTCTTTTTGTTGGTTTCTATTTGTTTTAGGGTGCATCTTTCATCCGGTGCCTGAAGACTAACTTCAAGATTGAGCCAGGTGTTTTCAATGGCGGACAGGTGCTCAGCCAGCTGCAGTGTGCCGGTGAGTTTCCCATGAATGCTTGACTAGTTTTTTGCTCTGCCGAAGCATTGAGCGGTTACACCACTTCTTGGATTCTCTTCGGAGAAGACGGAAATTATCCTTACTTAGTTTTCATACTGTTGGCATCAGATGATGTTACTATCCTGTTCTTGACATTCGTGTCTGAGAGCTAAACAAACACTCTAATTTTTTACTGATGATGCCTTGACTCTCTCTTTCCCTCTCTCTTTTGTTTGAAATATGGTGATCTCAGTACCGTGTTGCAATGTGTGTCCTTATTTCTGAGTACTTGTATCATTCGTTCGCTTTTGTGTGTGTGTGTGTGTGTTCAGGTATGGTCACGGTGCTTGGGATGATGCAGGGTGGCTTTCCGTCCAGAACTGGCTTCCAAGCTCTTTATGATATGTGAGTTGTGCTGGTGATGGGCTGTTAGAATGGCTGTCTGGTTTGTTGATGGTCTAATTTACAAATTCAGAGTTGATAGCTGCTTTCTTGCAAGCCTCGAATACCATGTCAATAACTTAAGGCACGACTGTAAAAGTTATTGGGATTATGAATACACATTGTACTGTATTTCGACTATCTTCAAGGATTGGTCATGATCAACATGGCCTCCACTTGATGTCTTTCCTGTGGCTCAAGGTACAAGGATTTCTTGCCATCCAAACTCGCCTCTCTGGACCCGAGAATTTTCTGCCAAGCTCTGTTCCAGGCGCTTGGTCTGGATGTGAATGACTTCAAGTTCGGTATGACCAAGGTGTTCTTCAGACCTGGCAAGGTAAGCCGCGCCCGCATGTACCCAGGGGGTTGGGATGCAAGCATTTAGGGACATCCGGAAGGCATCACACTAATGTACTGAGTACCTGAACATTTTGAAAATCCAGTATCAGTCGTCTGGTGATGACCTTGTAGCGTGGCATTCGAAGTTTCAATTGAAACTGAGCGTCCTCTGCTGGATCTGCACCAACATCCAACAAAGCGGAGTCGTGCGACCGAATGACAGAAGTGCAGGAACATTTGCTCGCCGCGCATGTCAACTAGAGTACCTAGTTGTGTAGTGCAGTGGCATCGCTGATTTTGCCATCTTGTACTCGAAAACGGAAATTATCACTACTATTTTGTTATCCAGCACCTTTTCTGTGCAACAAGCATCCGTGACTGGCATCAGATGATGTTACTTTCCTGTTCTTGACATTCGTGTCTGAGAGCTAAACAAACACTCTAATTTTTTACTGATGATGCCACAGATAATACTCAGAGGCCTTGACTATCTCTTTTGTTTGAAATGCGGTGATCGCAGTTCGGACTGCAGTGTCTATCCTTATTTCTGCCTGCATGTACTTGTATCATTGGTTTGATTTGGGTTTTGTGGACATCTTGGTATACCGGTAGATTCAGTACTCTTGCTTGCTTTCCGGGCCTACATGACATGTACATTCTGTATGCCCGCTGTTTTGGCTTGACCAGTTTGACTACCGATTCTAACTTGTGTTTGTGTTGTGCGCCTTTGTTCTGTGTGCTTGTGCACTATGCTGGCAGTTTGCTGAGTTTGATCAGATCATCAAGTCTGACCCAGACAATCTGAAGGTGCTGGTCAGTCGTGTCAGTGGCTGGCTGAACGGCAAGCGATGGAGGAAGGCCCAGTGGGGCGTGCTCAGCTGCATCAAGTGTACGTGCTACACCCATGCATAGCTAGTGTTAGGATGCATCAAGTGTACGTGTTAGATCCATGCATAACGAGACTTTACCGAAACGCTGGCTTGAGCGGAGTGCGATATTCTGTACGGGGAGAGGAATGAGCGGCATGCCGTCTAATCAGGGTGATGTACACATTGCACAAATCCTTCCCAGTTACACTGATGTAGCTAGACTGGTGAGTCAAGGTTTCCGATAAGTGAGCACATATTCATTAGTTAGGGGTTGTTGCAAACAGGAAAAATCGGAAAAAATTGCTGTCACCACCCGGTCTCGAACCCTTCATGCTTATGGTCAGCGATAATCTACCACTGAGCTATGGTGTAGTCGTCATCCAAGCAGCGACCGCTCAAACACCTTCTTGAGACCTTGTATGCACACATCTTGTTAATCACACAGGCTGGTGGGATGCAGCCCTCACTCTAACCCACACACTTCACATACAAACTAACACTTATTGTGCGTGTTTCCTTGGGAATTGGTGTGTATGCTTTCAGTGTCACGCAAGATCCAATACCGGCTGGAGAAGCATATCATTCTGCAATCTGTTGCAAGGGGTTTCATTACTCGGAGAAGAAACCTTCCACGGTGAGTGCTCAATACTGCCTTTGGCTGCTTGTGGTTTGCCAGCTGTGGCAGGGTGGTTTCTATGCATCCCCACCTGCTCTTGCTGTACTGTCAACATCATCTGTGCACGTCTCACTACCAATTTAATGGATCTACGAGCGCATTCATTGGTGTTGTGTTGTCGCTGTGTGGTGTTCTCAGTGTCAAGGGATTCTCCAAGTTCCAGCTTCTTCAGCAGCAACTCGGCAAAATCAAGGATCTACGTAAGTACCTCAAGCAAACGCCAATGGTTGAATCATGATAATTATGGCACACCTAGTGGAATGGCAGAGTTATCGTCACACCAGATTACTTCACGTTTACAGTTGTACTGTTCAGTTCTTTTGGATATTGAACATTGCATAAAATGTGAAGAAGAGGTTGGTGCGACTTCGGCGATAGTAGGGGAAGAGTGTGCTCTGGATGGTAGTTTGAGTCAATCAAGTGAGAATTCAAGTCGGCAGGAAAACCGCGAGCTCCCATGTAGGGAGCAACACACTCTTCCCGAACATTGTATAAAGTGTTGAAAAGTAGAGAGGAAAGCTCCAGCAGCTTAGTTCTGTGTGCACCGCTCTTGTACTGCTCGCCTGCACAGTGGACAAGTTGGACAAATACCGCAAGGACCAGGAGGGCAAGTTCCTGGATCTGCAAGGCCGCATCGATGGCATGATCTCCAAGATGCGCGCACAGCCCGTCACCCAGAAGGAGATTGACGCTCAGTACCACGACCTGTCCAGTGCGGTGGACAACGTCGCCAACGAGCTCATGACCCTGATCCAGAAGGAGGCCGAAGAAGCCGAGCGAGAGCGCCTGCAGAAGATCCAGGAGGAGCTGGAGCGTGAGCGTAAGCGCAAGGAGGAGGAAGAGCGCAAGCGACGACAGGAAGAAGAAGAGCGCAAGGAGCGCGAGCGTATGTAAGTCTGGATTCTTGTGCCTGGTGTTTAGGGCTGGATTCTTGTGCCTGAATCATTAATTTTGTCTGGTTTGTTATGCCTGAATCATGTATATCGTGTTTAATTCTGGATTCCTGTGCTTGAATCATTTTTTATTGTTTGATTGTTCGCGCATGGAGGAGGAGGCAATCGCATGGTACTTACTGTATATTCTCTATTATAAGCGCAGGTCTCCATTACTAGCACAGTCTCTAATACTAGCACACTGTGAGCACCTTTCGAAACATTATAAGCACAGTCTCTATTATTAGCACGGTCTTGGTGGAAATCAATGTGGCATGCATGATATCTAGAATGTATTTCTTCTTGCCCTGTATGGATGTATTGGTTGAAAAAATATAAGCACGGTCTCCAATATAAGCGCGGTCTCCAATATAAGCACGGGGTAGAGGGGTGTTGAAAAAATAGAAGCACGGCGCTTATAATAGAGAATATACGGTATATTTGCTTAACATTGTGTTCGTCATCTTTATGGCTTGCACCTGTCTTATACTGAGTTTCTTCTCAATTCCGTCTTCTCTTGTTGTCAGGCTGCGTGAGATGGAGGAGCGCCGTAAGCGAGAGGAAGAGGAGGCACGACAGCGTGAAGAGGCGGAACGAAAGCGCCAGAAAGAAGAGGAGGTGGGTAACTTTCCATGTGCTTTTAAATGTGCATGTGTGATTCAATAGTTCTGCCTTGCTCCGGACAGAATAGACCGCATTACCAACTTGTTTGCTGCAAGCATGCACCTCTCCTACACAATGTGTTTCATTTAGTTGAGAGTGTGCTCCGGACTAGGGCATCTGCCACTGAAGCACTGCATTGCGACAATTTGGCTTGTCCTGCTGTTGCAATTGTGTCTGTGTGTGTAGGAGCGCAATCGTGCTGAAGCAGCCCGCCGTGCTGCGGAGGAAGCAAAACGGTATGTTTGACGTTGTTTGTGTGCATGATGTCGGTTTGGGGACTGTGTTTCTAGATATTTCTGTCTAGTCGGTCTGTGCATTGCCTCAATCTCTATCTTTCTGTCTCAAGTCGCCTGCTGCTCGCATTGTGCAAGAAACTCGGAGTTGGGACGAACTCTGTAAACCTCCTCTGTGCCTTTTGTGTATCTTTCTGTCTCCGTTTCTTTCTTTTTCACTCTCTTCATCAGTTGCCTATGTCTGTTTGTGTTCATGTCTCTACCTTTAACATTAGGCTTGCCGCTGAGGAGCAAGAACGTCGCGACAGAGAATTGGCGGAACGTCTTGCTCAGGTTAGTGGGTAGATGTGTAGCGTCGGCAGACTAGTAACTCGCGCAGAGAGCGACTGCGGCCCGCTATAGATGTATGGCTTGTGTGTGTGTGCGCATTTGTGCATGTGCATGTTGGGCGCAGGGAATACTCTTTCTGCTGACCGCTTGCTAGTGTGGGAATGCACTCACCTCCTGCCGGACTTGCATGTAATATCATGATCACCTAGCTAGAGTGTCGGTGCTCCTGCAAAGTGTAAGCCTTGTCTGGCAAATACTCTATTGTTGTGCTCGTGTATAGTTGCTGAGACTGGCTGTTAGTTTGGTCGGGGGGCTTCAAGTAACTTATGCGTCTCATTTTGGTTTTGGGGTTTCTCCAGGACTCTGCTAAACCGCAGGATGTGTTGGTGAAGGATTCCGAACCAGCACAGGAGGTATCCCGTATTGCCAGAACCACACTGTAAGTGTGTGTGTGTGTGCGTGTGTGTGTGCGTGTCACTGTGTGTGCGTGTCACTGTGTGTGCGTTTCACTGTGTGTGTGTGTGTGTGTGTGTGTGTGCGTGTCACTGTGTGTGCGTGTCACTGTGCGTGTCACTGTGTGTGTGTGCGTGTCACTGTGCGTGTGTGCGTGTCACTGTGCGTGTGTGCGTGTCACTGTGTGTGCGTGTCACTGTGTGTGTGTGTGTGTGTCACTGTGTGTGTGTGTGTGTGTCACTGTGTGTGCCTATGTATGTGTCACTGGATGTGTGGGTGGCCACAGTCTGTGGAAGTTGCATGTGCCACACTGGAGGAAAGAACAAGGAAAAAGCTCGGCTCCTCGCAATAAACATTTCCAAACATGACAACTAGCGCTCAGCACAGCACAATGAATTACTTCAAGTATGTATAGACAGCAGAGATGTGATAATACCTGGGAAGTGAAGATAGTCTACCATTGTCTTCGGTATCTAGATTTCTGACCGTATGATTATAGTATCTAGTTACAGTGGTGTTACAGTGGTGTTACAGTGGTGGATAGTTACTCTTAGCTCATATCCATATATCTACCTCCTTTCCCTCATATATCTACCTCCTTTCTACATTCATTATGGGCTCAACATCCGAGTTTCAAATTATCTTCTCTGCTCATGTTTGTGGCCTACAGGCCGTCAGCGTCGGAGGCACCTGCACAGGCTGACAAGAAACTCCCTGATCTCAGCAAGTGGAAGTACGAGAAACTCAAGGAGGTCATTAGCTCTGGCTCAGGTAAGTCTCTTATCCAACGCGGACTGCTGAGTACTCCACAGGTATACTAGTACACTGGAATCATGGAAGTTCTGTTCAAATTTATTTGTGTGGGTAGGCTTCGTTGACGGAGGGAAACTGCAGCTTTCTTTCTCTGTTCGCGCCATCACTTCGTTTCTTGCTGTTTGTTATGCATTTTGGTGGCTCTATGGACTCAGTTGTCTACTTTGCACCCTTGTCTTTGTTTCTCCTTCAGCTGATGTTGAGCTTCTTGCTGCCTGTCGTGACGAGTTCCATCGGCGTCTCAAGGTCTACCACGCATGGAAAGTCAAAAACAAGAAGAAGGGCGCCAACGTGGACAACAAGCCCGACGCAATCAGTGCACCCAAAGGTAATCCTTTGCTAAGTCTACTCCATGTTGTGACTCTGGCTGCTGCTGTATCGGGAGACGGTTGATGGCCTCTCGTGTCATTCATATCCTAGTATAACGTTGTGCTAAATGTGCGGAGACTCCATTGTAGCCATCCACTCTCCATGCATCCATACATCCTCACAACATTACATGGCCTCTGGACTTTTTAAAAAATGAGTTTGGGGCTTTGCGTGTTCGAGATCCGGGATTCTACTGTTGGGTGAGACGCTTCCGGTGAAGAACTCGTTGCGATACGTTCCTGTCACATGCAGCGAAACCTTTCTATTACTCCACAACTCTTACTTCGAAACATGCCCTTGTTGACCGAATTTTTCTGTCTGCATTTTCCAACACTGTTGCTGCTTAGGTTTCTCATCGTCCAAGCCCCAGACTATGCCAGCAGAGCAGAGACCACAGCGCTTCTTCCGGGTGCCGTTTATCCGGCCCGAAGACAGGAAGACTAGTCCTTGCCAGAAGGGCTGGTGGTTTGCCCACTTTGACGGCTCCTGGGTCGCCCGTCAGATGGAGCTTCACCCCGAGCGTCCCCCGGTTCTGTATATTGCTGGTAAGCACGACTTGAAGATGTGCGAATTGAGCTTGGAAGAAACCGGTCTGGCTCGCAAGAAGGGTGCCGAGATCTTGTGCGATCACTTTGACGAGCTTTGGAAGAAGCACAATGGTCCACAATACGCGACTACTTGATTCCATAGCAGAAAACTGTAGAAAAGCCTGTGTCCCTGTAAAACATGAACATGCAGAACCTTGGCTCCTTACGTACATATTTTCCCTATTTCTATTTTCTACTATTCCATACGTCCTCCATAAAATTGGTATTTTTATCGCTGGTTGATCCATGGCAGAGTTTGATTGTTACTGAAGTATTTATTTTGATGGTTTAGTTTGCGGCCTTCCGTCCACCACTGTAAAAATCTTCTCTCAGCGAGACATCCCTCTATTGAAACTTGGTTATCTCTATAATATTTCTTCTCCTTTTTAATAGTTTGCTTAGAGTGCCAGACAAGACCTTCTTGATAAATTATTGTCTGCTGAAGTTTAGTTCATTGCCGTGTGCATTTCTATTACTGTGAAGATTTTCCAGTTAAGCATCTCTCAAGGACTCTACTTAGTGGAGCACATTCTGTTGTATATCAGCAGCCGGATCAAGTGTAGTTTCTACAGATGCGGAAAGTTCAGTCGAACTGGGTCTGTTGCAAACTGAGACAGACAGACACAACGAGGGAGAGAGAGCCTCAGTGCACACCCACACACTCTCTCTCTCTCTTTCTCTCTCTCTCTCTCTCTCTCTCTCTCTCTCTCTCTCTCTCTCTCTCTCTCTCTCTCTCTCTCTCTCTCTCTCTCTCCCGTTGTCAACGTAGTCACTGTTGCGGTCCAAAGTCAATTGGCTGGAAAGTGGGAACACATGCCGAGAGTCCTCAAGCTCAGTCAGAGTATCCTCAATGCAATATGCAACGCAAGTACAGTGTAGGTCCATTTGGTACATACACAGTGCTGTCGCCGGTATACAAACACTACTCTACAGGGAGTCGTCAAATAATTTTTTTAAAGTATTTGATGACTCCCTGTATACAGGGAAGAGATTTGTATACATGTGCATGTATACAAATCTCTACATATTAAATTAAATTATGAGAAATGAGTTTCATGAGGTGTTTGGAACTGTTTTCCATACTCGTACACTCGCGTAGGAATTTGAAGCTGATTGTCCATCCACTGTAGTAGTTATAGATGTGCCAAACCGTGGCAGTACTCCTCAATCAATCATAGACATCTTGTACATGGTATCTTTGTACCTATTTACTAGCATACTGAGCACCTCTACATTACTTTCCCCACCAGTTCTGTCATCATCTGCATCCATCACAACACTCTGGATAATGCAGAACACTCAAATCCTATACGTCATGTATAGGATCTGTCAAAACACTGCAATGTCCTCCCTAAAATAAAATGCCTCTATAAGCCAAGTGATAAAACTGGCACTTTTCCAAACTTCTGAAAGGAGCCAACTAATGCTGCCCTAATAGGCGATTTACACGACAGGCACTTGCACGTTATACAGGGCCGTGATATACGAGAAAAGTGACTGTGTGGATTCACACGGCTGCACTCGACGACAGGCACGTTTGCACTTTTGAATGCTTCACCCACCAGTGGGTATTTAAAATTTTCAAAAGACGCATACTACAATTTATCATGTTGAAAAAATCAAGTCTTGTTTCACGCTTTTTGGTGTACTTTGAAGTAAAATGTACTCGTGCACGCCACGATTAGCGTGAAAGTGGGCCCCCAGCTCGCTTGCACTTTTCAGCCACTTTTCTCGTTCACAGGTAAAATGCCATAGCAACATTCCGGTGCACATGTATTTGCCTGTCGTGTGAATCGGCTACAACACATTACTGAATACGCTTTAGACACAGGACTTATCCCGGGCGGTACACTTCTAAAGTCCCATATTATAGTCACGTGATTGAATGGTTTCGCGCGCAATTTGCCTGTGCGGTGCTCTCCAAACCTGGCATGAGATGTGTACAGAAGGACTCGTACGGTATATCCGCGGTAGTATGATTTCTCGATTTCAACCCTCCCTCTCCCCCCCCCCCCCCAGGGGAGGGTTGAAATCAACCTGGGTCAAGCGCAATGCGTCATGTATACGCTCCAGGCAATCTGTGTTCATGGCGGGTTGAAACGCCTCATGTAAACACAGCTTTAGGCCGTGATCGTTTGGTAGATCCAGATCCAGATCCATAGGATCTGCAGTGATCGATTGGTCGAATCCGGATCCAAATCTCTCAGATTTGGATCCGAGCAACCATGCCCTGGGAGCAGGGTTGACTGGATCCATTTTCGCAAAACATGACGTTTGTATGTGTTTGGCGTGTAACAATCATTGTTATACGCATTTGGTACACATACACGTGGACAAGCGTTGCGCCATGCAGATGAGTACGACGAGTACGAACCTGGACTAACTTTTCGAACGTGATATTTTTACCTCAGCATGGCCACGGCAGCAGTGTGTTCCAAATGTGATCGATTGATTCTGAGGGATCCGACGAAACGATCAGTCTTAGTTTCACTGCTGTTCGAGCACCGTGACCGTACTGGCATCCTAAACACATTGACGGCACAGTTCAGTTCAGATTTCAGTTGAAGTCCTTCATAATAATGTGATATAGACCATGTTACTAAGATAATTCCATTGTGTCATTGGAAATGTGTATTGCAGTACAGCTATGTATGGTGGGATGATTCCTAGAGAACTGGACAAGAGCTCAAGCTAGTCTCCAGCAGTGGAGATTTTCAATTCACTGAGTTTCAACTGAGCACGAAAAACCCTGGGGGTAAAGCATGCAATATATATTATCAGTAGGCAACAGGTCATCAACAAACCTCTATGTGTGGGCAACAAAAATCTTGTCATGTCGAAAAACAATCAACTTCAATCAAGACATACCGCTCAAACAGTGGTCGAGTCCTGTGTGCCATGGCGTACTGTGAATGACGGGCACATCCTGTTTAGTACCGTCAGACATCCACGCCACGAACTTACAAGTATCTGCCCTGCGTGGCTCTATCGTACGTGCCTTACGTGGCTCTATCGTACTTGCCCTACGTGGCTCTATCGTACGTGCTTTGGGTGGCTCTATCGTACTTGCCTTACGTGGCTTTATCGTACGTACCTGTTTAGCACTGTCAGACATACATGCCACTAACTTACAACTATCTGGCTCATGTGGCCGCCTATCGTACGTGCCTGTTTAGTATCGAGTTACTGTCTAACGTTACACGCCACTAACTTACAAGTATTTGCCTTGGGTGGCCGTCTATGGTACGTGCCGGCTTACGTGGCGGCTCTATCGCTGGCCACGGAGAGCGCACCACCGCTGCGCCGCCGTCTGCTTCCTCTGCCCACGTGGTCGGCGTACACGGAGTTGCGGTGCTTGCGGAATAGGAAGATGTACAGCCGCGGCGTAAAGAGGAATAGCCAGATGGCGGCCATGTGCGTCAGCAGCCTCAGCGAGTACAGCACGGCCACATACTTGGTATCGGAGAAGTAGATTGGTGGCGCCAGCATGCCCCAGACGGCACACAGGCAGAACGATGTCAGGAAGATGTGCCGTGCCTCGTTGAAGTTCATCGGCATTTTGCGCGTGATGAACGCAAAGACGCTGGTGACCAGGATCAAGATGACGATGTAGACGTCGAGGACTGCAGAGCGTTTCGAGTCGTAGTCGCACAGCAGATACACATGCGGCGTGTCATCATGGTAGAGCTCCTTGACCGTGGGAGTGTGTGTCAGGGTCAGCGTCAGCTCTAGGGTAATGCCGATGAATGAGACGATGCAGATGAAGATGACCTGCGCCGGAATGCTCAGCGTCCACTTGCGCGTGAACGTCACCATCTGCTGGGCAGCGATGGCCATGCGCGCCAGCCGGCTGGTCTTGATCAGCAGTGTTGCCGTGGTGAATATGAAGGGCGGTGACTGCGCCAGCTTGGCAACCAGGCAGTGTAGCTTGCTGGGACGTCCAATCTGTACCAAGGCCACGGCGTAGCCAACCAACATGCCAATCAGAATCAAGATCATGAGATGATAATCGGATGCTTTGGCTACAGGTGACGCACGGTAATAGCAGAACACGGCAAGCGTGAAGATGACCAGGGACATACACACAACAACGGCCACCGTCAGCACGATTCCGATCGGGTCTCCCCAGTCAAGGAACTTGCGCGGCAGTGGAATGCACGCAGTGCGATTCTCGCTGGCCGTCTCTCCATTGCCACAGCCCTCACAGGAACCAATGCCGTTCTCCGGCGCTCTCTCCTTCTTGGAACAGTCTATGCACTCGGTGCAGCACGGCCGATCCGGGTTATCCTTGGTACCCTGGCCAAATCCACACTTTTTACGGCACGTCGACGAGATGTTGGCAGGAATGCGCTCCGACCAGAGGATGAGGTCTTCCTGGAGCTGTAGCACGGCTTTTCTCTTGCCCTCCGCGCCCGTCACCAGCTCCCAGTGGCCTACATCGCTGCTGTTCTGCGTGATAAAGTTTGAAATGGAGAACGCCGGACTTGGCTCGGATACACGCGTTAACAATTGGCACTCTCCCTGTGTGCAGGGGAATGTGACGTTGCGCACGGCTTCGCGCATTGCCTTGCCGTTGGCCAGGGTCAGGAGACGGTCGGTGACCTGGTCTGCTGGGGTGTCCGCTGGTATGCTGTCCAGTAAGATCTTGAGTGCTCGCACTGACAGCTCCGTCGCTGCAAGGATGTTGCGAGTCCAGCCCAGCCGGGGTGCAATCTCCTCGATCTTGCTCAGCGTTAAGCGGAACTTGGGATTGTCGCAGGATACATTCGCCCACGATTTTTTGCGTCCTGCGTAGCTCTGCGAGCAAGCATTGCCGCAGCCGAACACATCCTCCCAGAAGTGACACAGCCATGGGTTGTCCGTCTCGCTCTGTTGGCGTACATCACGCGTGGTCAGCGATAGCAAATAGTCCACGTAGCCGTTCACCCGCTCCGTTATGAAGTCCGTGAAGTTTAGCGGCAGGCGAGGTCGCAATACCAACGCAACAGGTACAGCAGGGGCCAAGTTTTTCATTTGCTGCAAGCGTGATGATGTGCCCCAGTAATCACTGCCCAACCACAGCTTGTCCAGTTTCTTAGCTCTCAACATACTACCACTCCTCGAAAGGTTTTCGCGAGTTTCCACAATGGCCTTGAAGAGGAGTTCAGCTTCGTAGCTGCGTGCAAACAGAATAACTACCTTCGCGTCGTCGTACAACATCAGATTGTTAACGATGTCGGGTATGACAACATCACGCAGTGGGTCCACCGAGCTGAACGTCGTTGAATAGGCAATGCAGACATTAGCCAACAGAGCGGCCTGTTGCAGCTTGATAAGGCCCGGCGTGCCGTAATTATCATTCGACGACGCCAGTGCTATGATATAGTTCCATTTGAAGTGGACAACAATGTCAATGAGTGCCTGCGCCTGGCTCTGATCTGGCGCCGCTGTTCTGAAGAAGTACGGCAGCTGTCCTCCGGAGTGGTTGACAAAGCCATTGCCCGTGGCACTGGGGCTGATGTGCGTCAGTTTCTCAATGGTGAAGATCGTCGACACGGGCAGCACGACGCGGCTCTCTGTCAAACCGACTGCAATGGCCATGTTCCGTATCGGCACGCTGGTACCGGACGGACACATCACCCCCACGTCTTCGGTAGTAGCGCCGGGATTCTCACTGCTGACATCTCTATAAACATTAGTTGAAGGTTCAGTTGTTGGATCCGTGCCGCTTCCATTGCTGTTCATATCGCTAGCACTGATGTTAACCGATGGCTGCGGGCACTGCGGCAGCAATTCGTCGCGGAGTCCGCAGAAAGATTTCCGACCGACAAGCGGAATTTCCGACGCAAATCGCAGCGCCATGCGTGAGTTGACGAACAGGGAGCTGCAGCTATCAGCCAGTGTGTATCCTATGTCAATACTCCGACCTGGCACCGTCGACTGTAGCGTGCCATTGTACACGTTGTTTATCACGTACGCGAAGATCTGTGAGTTATCCACCAGACGATAGCTCCTGAACTCGCTGCATGTCTTCTGTATTCCCTCGTCAGACACATCAGCAAACGGGAACTTGTTCGACGAGCCTTGGATTTCATCGGGCCGCTTGAACAGTGGGAAAAGTCCCCCAATAACTACGCTGGCATTCTTCTTGAAATAGTGAGAGTCCGGAGCTGTGGAGGGTAGGGGCATGCACGTCGGGTGTTGGTCATGGTTCTTCAAGCTGCTCGACGTGCTGTCCAAAGTCATCTGCGCGCTAACCAGGTGGACCGCTAGAAGAAATGCTGCTGCACAAACCAGGCGCTTAGCCATCGACTTGGCGGCAGGGTCACCCGTCAACATGGTGTCGTTGGACCGCACAGGCAGATGCATAGGCACGAGAGGCAGGTAATTATTGTTTTTCTCCTCCAATCTATCAACTGGAGGAACTCTCTTGCAGATACATGTACAAAGTCCGTGTCATTTCGTAGGGAAGAGATCTGCTGTGGATACACAAACAACACTTCCAATCGCTAGCAATATTCTACGTCCAGCGAATCATAGTGGTAGAACAAAACAAGTGACATAATTATAACGCGCAGGACATTTTACGGATACGCGACAACTGATACCAGTATTGATAAGAACAGATTGAATTCTGTACTACTAATTTTAGTGGTATTGTGGTGTTGCTCCGCTTCACTCAGTTCAGACGCTGTCGACTGTCATGAAGTCGCAGGGGCCTAGCGAACAGTTTGTAGCGCCTGGCCGGCTGATCAGTGTACAACAGACTGTCTGTAGATTTACCATGCATACTGACCAGGCCGGGAGCTAGTAAGGGACCATCGCAAAAGTTCGCAGAAGCCCCTGAAACGAAGAGCATACGTTTGGGGGGGAGGGAGTCGGTGCGAAAATCGCAAACCGGGCTTCAATTCAAAAAAGTATTGACGACATAATTATAGGAGCTGTAGGATTAGCGCTATATATAGCATGCCATCACAGCGGGCGTAGATCGCTTGTCAGGACGCGTAGTCCATTCATGCAACTGCGCGTGTCGCGTAGCTGGCTGCCTGTACACTGTGTGTAGTCTAGTACCAAGAGTCCATAAAACGCGTGGTTTATGGACTCTTGCTAGTACTAGTACTAGCAGGGGTTCATAGGGTTTATGAACCCCTGCTGTATTATTATAATAATTATTATGTGTGAGCATCCAAGTGAAATAATGAAGGCCATATTGTGACTGTCGTTTCGTTTGAGGGGGGAGGGAGGGGGGTCAGGCCCGAAACTCACGGTCTTCGTTTCGGGGGCTTCTGCGAACTTTTGCGATGGTCCCTAAAAAACCAGGGTTTTCAACTAACTAATATTACTGATGTCTTTTCACAGATGCACCAATCTCCGAGTCTTTCACTGAATGAGGTGAACGATGTTACGTGCAGCGCCAGTACTCAGTAGATCTACTGGCAGTAGATCTACATGATAACAGATAAGATTATCACGCGAGTATCATCAGTTCAATCAGCCCTTGCCGCAACTCGCTGATTGAACTGTTGAACTGTTGAACTGTTGAACTGTTGAAGGTCCATCAGTAGACCCAGGTGCTCGAAGTCCGTACACTTTTACAGGGTGTGTTTGCCGAGCTGAAACTCACGCTAGCAATGATCACTTGCCAGAATCCTGCTCGTGGATGGAAGGTATCTTGTCCAAGTTTGTTCTGAGGCCAGGCTCGATTGAACCAGGCCATCTTTCGATCCGATCTGTTTCTCTGGAGTTCGCTGATTTTTCATTTCAAATTTTGGTGTCGCAGAGGGTACTCTAAGTCCGTACTGATCAGAGGTGACTCGAAATACGCACATATTTCCGCTAATTGCTAACTAGCAATCCCTCGGTTACGACGAAAGCACCGAGGGGATATGTTTGGCATGTGCCTCCACCAGTATTTCTTGCAAAAGCGTAGTTTGTTGCCGAAATGCAAGCTGTTTTAGTCGGCTCAGAGAAGAAGCAGCTGCGCTGTGAAAACCGCGGGAAAACAGTGGTGGAGATGCCAGGAGTGTCAACCTTTCTGCAAGGATTGGTGGTTCTCTGTAAATTCTTCTCCTCTGGCCATTGTCAGCTCTAAGCTGGCTCTTGATGATTGAGTGAAGGTCCGTTTGACGCTGTGTCCGTTCGAAATCGGTCTTGGCAAAGTTGATTTTTGCATGAAATGCAACCCAATTTGTATTTCGTATGGACACTCGAAAACCCACTCGCGTGGTATGGGACTTCTGCTTATCGTAGATCCCTGAAAATTGGTACGCGAGGAGAACATACCACACTGTCCCCTCCATAAAATATTTGAGTCGAATACAATAACAGAACATGAAATTATGGGCGTACGAACTTAGGATACCATGTACGGACTTCGAGCACCTGGGTCTACCATCAGTCATCACGTACATTGTACGTACATGTACATGACTGTACAATCATGTAACTAAAAGTTACTAAATAATTACTTCAAACAGTAAGTCGCAAGCAGGGAGTCTAAGACTAGCGCCAGATAATAGTCTTATCCTCACAACTGGCGAAGTCATCTGAATTCTGAATCGACCCGCAATGCATACCTGAGCTACACCACACGGAGCGCGCGCGCACACCACATACACACACACACACACACACACACACACACACACACACACACACACCACCACCACCACCACCACCACCACCACCACCACCACCACCACCACCACCACCACCACCACCACCACCACCACCACCACCACCACCACCACCACCACCACCACCACCACCACCACCACCACCACCACCACCACCACCACCACCACCACCACCACCACCACCACCACCACCACCACCACCACCACCACCACCACCACCACCACCACCACCACCACCACCACCACCACCACCACCACCACCACCACCACCACCACCACCACCACCACCACCACCACCACCACCACCACCACCACCACCACCACCACCACCACCACCACCACCACCACCACCACCACCACCACCACCACCACCACCACCACCACCACCACCACCACCACCACCACCACCACCACCACCACCACCACCACCACCACCACCACCACCACCACCACCACCACCACCACCACCACCACCACCACCACCACCACCACCACCACCACCACCACCACCACCACCACCACCACCACCACCACCACCACCACCACCACCACCACCACCACCACCACCACCACCACCACCACCACCACCACCACCACCACCACCACCACCACCACCACCACCACCACCACCACCACCACCACCACCACCACCACCACCACCACCACCACCACCACCACCACCACCACCACCACCACCACCACCACCACCACCACCACCACCACCACCACCACCACCACCACCACCACCACCACCACCACCACCACCACCACCACCACCACCACCACCACCACCACCACCACCACCACCACCACCACCACCACCACCACCACCACCACCACCACCACCACCACCACCACCACCACCACCACCACCACCACCACCACCACCACCACCACCACCACCACCACCACCACCACCACCACCACCACCACCACCACCACCACCACCACCACCACCACCACCACCACCACCACCACCACCACCACCACCACCACCACCACCACCACCACCACCACCACCACCACCACCACCACCACCACCACCACCACCACCACCACCACCACCACCACCACCACCACCACCACCACCACCACCACCACCACCACCACCACCACCACCACCACCACCACCACCACCACCACCACCACCACCACCACCACCACCACCACCACCACCACCACCACCACCACCACCACCACCACCACCACCACCACCACCACCACCACCACCACCACCACCACCACCACCACCACCACCACCACCACCACCACCACCACCACCACCACCACCACCACCACCACCACCACCACCACCACCACCACCACCACCACCACCACCACCACCACCACCACCACCACCACCACCACCACCACCACCACCACCACCACCACCACCACCACCACCACCACCACCACCACCACCACCACCACCACCACCACCACCACCACCACCACCACCACCACCACCACCACCACCACCACCACCACCACCACCACCACCACCACCACCACCACCACCACCACCACCACCACCACCACCACCACCACCACCACCACCACCACCACCACCACCACCACCACCACCACCACCACCACCACCACCACCACCACCACCACCACCACCACCACCACCACCACCACCACCACCACCACCACCACCACCACCACCACCACCACCACCACCACCACCACCACCACCACCACCACCACCACCACCACCACCACCACCACCACCACCACCACCACCACCACCACCACCACCACCACCACCACCACCACCACCACCACCACCACCACCACCACCACCACCACCACCACCACCACCACCACCACCACCACCACCACCACCACCACCACCACCACCACCACCACCACCACCACCACCACCACCACCACCACCACCACCACCACCACCACCACCACCACCACCACCACCACCACCACCACCACCACCACCACCACCACCACCACCACCACCACCACCACCACCACCACCACCACCACCACCACCACCACCACCACCACCACCACCACCACCACCACCACCACCACCACCACCACCACCACCACCACCACCACCACCACCACCACCACCACCACCACCACCACCACCACCACCACCACCACCACCACCACCACCACCACCACCACCACCACCACCACCACCACCACCACCACCACCACCACCACCACCACCACCACCACCACCACCACCACCACCACCACCACCACCACCACCACCACCACCACCACCACCACCACCACCACCACCACCACCACCACCACCACCACCACCACCACCACCACCACCACCACCACCACCACCACCACCACCACCACCACCACCACCACCACCACCACCACCACCACCACCACCACCACCACCACCACCACCACCACCACCACCACCACCACCACCACCACCACCACCACCACCACCACCACCACCACCACCACCACCACCACCACCACCACCACCACCACCACCACCACCACCACCACCACCACCACCACCACCACCACCACCACCACCACCACCACCACCACCACCACCACCACCACCACCACCACCACCACCACCACCACCACCACCACCACCACCACCACCACCACCACCACCACCACCACCACCACCACCACCACCACCACGAGAAAAGCCTCTTTTACGGGCAAAGCAAATGTATATCATTACAATATGTAAAGTGAACAGGGGAAATCAACACAAAACCAACCGGAAAATGATGAAACACAAAAGCAGTCAAGGAAGTAAATCAATACAAAAGCAAGCAATGAACACAGAGTAATAAAAGGGGAAAAACCAAATAGCATTATATTAAGTTGAGGCCAAAGGCAGCACCCTACTCCGCCTGGCGGCACTGGGCCAGAAATGAGTTCGGCTGTCGCCTCTTGCCGTACGAACCGCGGCAACCGCGGAAGCAGGTGACTGCCCATCGCAGCAAGCAGAAAGACAAACGGGTGCGTAGTATGCCCATTACTAGTGGGTACT